GATGGTGGCAGCGCCCAGAGGAGGCGCGGACCAAGTGGGTAACTTAGGTCCACAAGCGGGTAACTTATTTCCGCAGACAGCTGCAGCTGTCACGAACACTGACAATAGCGTGTTCAGGGTGGGTAACAGAGTTCCACACACGGTCGCCTAGATCTTAACTGAAGAGGAAGACGTCGGATACGCTTCCTGTGTGGGTAACATAGTGCCACACGTGGTCGCCCAGACCTTAACTGGAGAGGAAGGCGTCGAACACGCTTCCTGTGTCGGTACCACAGTACCACACGAGGCCACGAGTGCCTCGGATGTCGAAGCGCCGACATCCCCAGACGTGGGTAGCAAAGCTCCACGTCACGATCGCCGTCGACGACGACGTCGCAGCAAGCGACTCGGCGTCCAGGGCCCAAGTTCCTCCGACAAGGCCGGTGAAAGAGTGTTATCACATCTTCGATGGCGAGACTGGTTTACCCGTCAAGGCATCTGGTGTCTACTTGAAACCGTTGCCAGACGTTGCAGAGATACTGAACCTCGAGGAAATGACGGTCGAATCTTTCTTGGCCAACCTCAAGGCTGGAAAGGCTGCCGAGATGGTGCTCACGAGACCTGAGACCACTCGGGAGGAGCTGAACACCTCCTCTGTCTTGGACGAGAACGTACTGGAAGACCTAAACAAGCAGCGTCAGACGCGCTTGGGTTCTGGGATCCTTAAGAACCCCAAAGATCCGGTGTATCCTTTGGTGATGGAGTATACGGACGTGGTGAACAAACACCCACCGACCCAACTCCCACCGGATCGAGGTGTACGGCATGAGATCGATCTCGTGCCTGGCACAAATTATTGTGTCACGAGGCAATGTCCTCTTCCGCGCGAACGGTGCGAGGTCATTGATGCCTTCTTCGCCGCGAAAGCGAAGGCAGGCATGGTGCGGGAGTCGAAATCCCCGCACTCGATGCCAACTTGCTGCGTTCGGAAGCCGAACGGAAAGTGGCGACTAGTTCACGCTTATAACAAGCTGAACAACGCAACGGTGCCGGCCCAAACACCAATCTCACGAAAGGATGTGTTGTTAAACAACATGGCCGGGAACGTACTGTACAGTGCGCTGGATTCGGTAGACGGATACTACCAGATCCTGATGCGAGAGAGTGACATCCCGCTCACCGCGGTGAGCACTCCAAGCGGCATGCTTTGGGAGTGGCTCGTCATGCCGCAGGGCTTGTCTAATGCCCCGGCGATGTTCAATCGCCTGGTGACGCAATTGCTCCGCCCTTTGCGTACCTTCGTACAGACGTACTTCGACGACATATTTGTCCATAGCCGTGCCTAGGGAGGCAAGACGGCCATCGAGGTGCATCTAGGACACCTTCGTCGGGTATTGGACGTAATGCGATCAAACAAACCCTACGTCAACATCGACAAGTGCGTTTTCGCGTCACCAGATATTAAAGTTCTCGGTTGCTTCGTAAGCAACGTGGGCGTTCGGGCTGACCCAGACAAGGTCAAGGCCATAGCAGCATGGCCAACGCCCCGATCCCAGAAGGATCTTCGAAAGTGGTTGGGCTTGGCCAACTACCTTCATATGTACAGCGCAGGGTACGCGGCTTTGCTAAGCCCTTGTCGGGCCTCCTTCAGAAGGACGTCGACTGGCACTGGGAGCACCAGGATGCCTTTGACAGCATCAAGGCCAGTCTCCAAGAGGCTCCTGTCCTTGCCCTGCCGGACGAGACGAAGCCGTTTAGTGTCGTCTGCGATGCCTCCGATTACGCCATCGGGTGTGCATTGATGCAGGCCGACACGGCTGGACATGAACGAGTCATCTCGTTCCAGTCCAGGCAGATCAAAGCCGCCGAACGGAACTACCCTGTCTACGACAAGGAGCTCTTGGCAATGAAATATGCTCTTGTGACGTTTCGTGCTCACCTTCAGGGACCCCGGCCCTTCGTGATCTACGCAGACCACGCATCCTTGCAGACGGCGACTAACTCGCCTCACCTCTCCCAAAGGATGGTGAGGTGGCTGTCCTTCTTCGCGGAGTACAACTTCCGCGTCGAGTACAAGCCGGGCAGGCTCAACGTGCTTGCGGACGCTCTCTCTCGGCGTCGTGACTATGAGCTGGCCCACATCACACGGGTGACAACGGATCTATGATCGGATACGCATGGCGTATCGGGACGATAAGGCTGGCGCGCCTATCGTCAAGTTTCTCACGGCAGGAACGAGCGCGAAGTCCGACTGGCTCTCGTCGCGACAGCGCTCACGGCTCCACCGATATAAGCTGAAGGATGGCCTCCTCTATCACCGGGTGGAACCCAATGAACCTTACGGGTGGTCGTACCCAACGACGAGGATCTGAAGTTCGATATCCTCACGGAGGCGCACGACGCGTCCTCCAGCGGCCACTTAGGCCACTTTCTGTCGGTCTCTCAGGCCTTGTGATAGACCCACATGTACAAGTGGGTCGCCCGATACGTTAAGACATGTGAAACATGTCAGCGGGTCAAACCCGCAGGACACTCTTCGGCTCCACTACAGAGCCTGCCCGTACCGGCTGACTGTTGGAAGTCGATGAGTCTTGACTTCATCTTTGGGCTTCCCGCCGACGGACACGGCAACACCGGAATTTTGGTGTTCGTGTGTCGGCTGAGCAAGATGGTACATCTTGCTCCGGTTCCCGTCACTGTTACGGGCGAACAAACCGCAAGGTTGTTCGTCGATGGCGTGTTCCGCTATCACGGTCTCCCGGAGACGATTGTCTCGGACCGAGACCCGCGGTTCACGGCTGCGTTTTGGAAAACGCTGTTCCCTTTACTGGGAACTCGTCTGCAGATGTCCACTGCGGACCATCCGCAGACAGACGGCCAGACAGAGCGCGTCAATCGAGTGCTCGAGGCCACTCTGCGCAGTGTGTGCGCGACAGCACCGCGTACGTGGTCGACGCAGCTTCCGGTTGTTGAGTTTGCGCTCAACAACGCGGTGCACGCGTCCTCGGGGTTCACACCGTTCTACTTGAACGGCTTCCGTCACCCCAGAGTGCCTCTCACTCTTCGAGGAGACATTGACTTCTCACTTCTAAGTGGGGGAGAGGCTCGGAAAGCCCTTTCCTCCCAGGTCTCGGATGTGAGACCAGTTTCGCTGCGGAAACAAGTGGAATCCTTTATGGATACCAAGCTGAGCGTTGTCAGCAAGGTCCGCGATGCCATGGCAGCGGCCCAAGATAAACAAAAGGAGTACTCTGACAAACATGGAAGAGGAAACTTAAGTGTATTTAAAGTGGGGGACTTAGTGTTATTAGACAAGAGAAACCTGCCTCTTGACACTGTCAGCTCTGTCGGCAGCAACAAGCTGAAGCACCGCTTCATCGGACCTGGCCAGACATGGTGCGTCGTACACCATCGACCTGCCAAAGTCAATGACGACGCAACCGACGTTCTATGTTGGACGTCTTAAGCGGTACTTCAATCCGCAGGGGGTTAGACCCACCTTGACCCAGCTCCTCGAAGCGAGAGCCGGTCACAGACGTCGTCGAGGACGTCGGAGCAGGCACCCAAGCCTCGGTCGGAACGACAAGGCTGTGGTCAAGACCGTACACAGGAGGGGCTCCGTACGAACGGACCCCGGAGCCATACGCCGAGTACGCTGAGTACGCCGGGGTACGCACCATACGCGTACGTCTGGGAGTGTGCCGCAGGCGGCTCCGGACGTGGCAGCAGAGCCTCGATCCAGGCGAGCTGCGTTGATGATTGATTTCTTACATTTAGCTTCGCAAAACCTGTTGTATGTACTGCAAATCGGGCACAGTAACCACTTTATTTTGTAAGAGCTCTGCACACTTCTCAAATAGAGATATTTTTTACTATAAATGTAGACTTCACAGACCAGTATTTTGTAAGAGCTCTGCGATGTTGCCGAAGCGTTGGCGTAGCTGGTACGGCATCTTGACTTCGACGGCTTCGCGTAAGCAATGTATCCACTCGTCGTCATTCTCCAAATATCCAAGCGCCAAAGCTGCTTGCTGATATGTAGGATGTTCCGTACCATCAACCGTTCGAAGATCCGCAAGTGACTTAGGCGAGCGTCGGTTACACAGGCGAAGTCGCAAGTAGAAGCGTTCCGGGTCCTGCGGAGATACGTGTACCAAGCGTCCCAGAGAAGCAACGTACTTCGTATATGGCTTCCACATCTTGTGTTCCGTCCACCTGTACTTCCGCGGCCCATCCTTGTACAGTAGATTGGCCGTAGCTTCTGGATTACGCGCGCACAGCTTGAAAAACGCCGTCAGCATTGATCTGTCCCCGCTGCCAGAATGATGGTCATGGCCAGCTTCTGCTGCATCTCCAGTTGGTGCAGCGGTCGCTCTTGCTGCCGTAACGGCCGATCGGCTTGGCCGGACTCTTCGTTCTCGAGCTGGAGCAACGTCGGTGCGGGCTTCAGCACCGCGCTCCATACGTCCTTCACCTCCAGGTAAAGTTGGAGTTGCCGCGCCCAGACTCGGTAGCCCGTTCCGTCGAACTTGCGAAGCTTGGTCGTGAACGCGGTCGTGGTGTTGGCACTCATAACCTGTCGAGTTGGTTGGAAGGAGGCGGGTGAGGCGAAGAAGGAGAATTAGAAAGTGAGTGAGATTAGAACTTACGCAAGCCTGCTTACACCTAGTCTGCGTGCAGTCCTTGGGTATCGTGTCCAGTCCAGCACGCTGTCGTGTCCTACCTTGAAGTAGACCTTGAAATTGCCAAGATGACTCAAGTTACCGTTGCACCTGCGGTCTTACCACTTGATGACGCGTGATATGTAGACCGTGTGCCGCACTGTGCTCACAGAGTAGCACGTTCCGACAAATCACAGCTGTGGTCCTTCCTATCAGCTATTTGGGTGTTACGATTCGTAACATCCGTAACTTACGAATACGACATGACGGGACACGTTGACATGCAGCTGGGGACGCGGAAGCACCTCCAGAAGCGGATCTATTGGTCATGATAAGGTGCTGTAGCTACTGACCAACGCTCGCCTGTGCTGTTCGTACGATTTTGTTGTCATGATCTCTAGAAACACTGTCCCTTCAGCTCATTTCCTTATTGTACGCCTCGGACATAAGTCAACACCCTCCGCGCCACAGATGAAGACCCCATCCAGTATCCTCGCTTTCGCCACACTGACGGCTTCCGTGCACGCCCATGGATACATTTCCATGCCCAAGGCGACGTACCAGCCCAACACCCCCTACACGGACTACAACGCTATCACAACGGCTAGCGTAAACGCGGGCTTTGCCGGTGGGAAATACGATGGAAGCCCCTCGCAAAACACCCAGGTGTTCACCGATCATTGGAATGCTACCGGTTACAAATCGCTTCGTGACATGGTTGATCCTATCGCACCGGGCTATGGGTACTCTGTCGAAACGGCAACGCCCGTCGACGTGACGGGATACACTGAAATGTGGTGGCAGAACGACGAGTACAAGGAAGGCTTTATTGCCTCGCATGAGGG